TTTCTCCTCAGAGGAAAGTCTGGTACTAATTAAGCGACCCCTGATGAACGAGTGGTCTGACTGGCCCCGATGGATCATGGGCCGGGGTTTAAAACCCGGAACATGCATGTGATAAAGAGCACCATTTGCCGCTACACCACTTTCTCCCCTATCAATATTACTTTATGAGTGGAAACGTTTCAACGGCTTCGACCGAATGGGGGAGGTTTCTTACTCCCGATAGCATGGCCCACATAGTCGTTCTTACATCACTAATCTGTTCTTCATTTTCATCAATGTTTTTTTTATTTTTTTTTTTTTGAATTTTAATCCAAATTGAATTTTAATTACAACAATTTCAAATCAAATTCGTTAAGTTTTTAGAAGGCTTGTTAGCAATTTTTAGTACAGCTTATTAGTAGAGTGGGTAGTACACTCGAAAAAACCTTTTTCAACACCTACCTCCATATCGATACCAGTATCAGCAGATCCGGCCAGGAATGAACCACCATGGATCCACACGATAATCGGAAAAGTCTTTGATTCATCTTCGTTGTCCTACAACAGCAACAATATGATACAGTGCGATCCCAGAGAGTAAGGTATTATACTCACGTAAGGACTGAAGACGTTTAGATAGAGACAATCCTCGCTTTGACGTTTCATATTTTCAGCAGAAAACTTATCATATCGATGGAAATCCATGAACTGTATACAAGGAGGGCCGTATTCGACGGCAGATAGCTCCTGGTGCCATCGAGATTTTTTTACAGGCTTCTGCAAATAATCCCATTAACAGTTCGAATTTACCGATTATCATTCATTTTTGTAAGGATCCACGTTCGACTCTCGATAAATCTTGGCATAGCTTTGCATTAATTTTAAAAGATTTCAATAAAACCTACTGCCAAGATGGTAAATAAGTTCTTATAAACAGTAAATAAGTTGATCAGAACTTATTTACCATCTTGGCAGCAGGTTTTATTAAAATCTTTCAAAATTAATGCATTCCTTCTTAACCTCGAAGGGCTTCATGGAAATAAAAAATCGATTGCTGGGCTTGTAAGCCCGCTACGATCGATAACCCTTGGGTTACGAAAATGCTCTCTGATGCCATTAGTGTTATTTGATGCTGTTACAAATGGAAACCTAAATTGTAAAAAAGAAACAGCTTCGCAACTTTTTGTTGTCCTCGAAAATAAACATCGCAGAATTGATAGTGGGCCGTTTCAAATGAATGGGCTGTTAGCATTGGGAATCGATCATACACGAATATCATTAGAAAAATCCGTTATTGACTCCCCATCAATATCGGCATTATTACGGTCTGTCTTCCGGTACTTTACGGCACGAGTGACGATAGTTCTGGGGCACTTAGTTTCGGACTAGTGATGAAAGTGATACTCTAGATTAGACAAAATAAAGACGCGGAAATCGGCGTCTTCAAAGAAATATAATGCTCCAAAAAGTAGTTAAGTTAGGGCTAAGCGAGCGTGTGGCGACAACGTTGCACTTAAGGGGCATTTGGACGAGATGCCCAAGCGTGTGCAGCATTGCGTACAGGTGGAACACGCCAGGTGGACGAGTCCACATGGTGTTATAGAGGCCGTGTGGTTTGCACCATAATAAGCTGCCGGCTGTGCAACGTGTGGGCCCTGCAGCAAAATGAGACTGAAATTGAAATGGTGCGAATGTTGAAAACGGCACAGCTTCTACAACGCCAGGAAGACACGTCCACCCAGGATGTGCGTCGACTAAGCCGGTATAGAGGCCTTTGTTAGATCCTATCCAAGCCGTTTTTCCACCTGACAGCGTCCCTTGTGCTATCTATGGGGGGCGATAGGTTCACCAAGATAGAAATCTCCGAACCATTTTTACTGTTAGCTCTGTGCCTCCAAACCTACTCCCATGTCCGAAGAAAAATTGCCGAGAAAAATACGAAAACATAATAAGTGGAGTACAACGGCCAAGAAAGCGTAGAAGAGTTGCCAGTAAAAGACAATCGACAACGTTTTAGAAAGCTAAGAAAAAGCAGAATATCTCTATTGAAGAATTTGTTCCAAAAAACAAATGTCCTGTCCCTCCTAAAAGCACACTTCACGATAGTTCTGAGGTTTCCTTCTAAATTGAAAAGCGGAAATGTTATTCTCAGAACAGTGCATTGATGGGAAACGTGAGAAAGTCAGTCAAAATCCATCGAATTCAGAATTCCTAAAGTACCAAAAGCACGGAGTGATTTACTGTAAAACTGGATTCTAGTCATTGCATCTGCATAAAGAAATCGCAAGAAAACAAGGTCAAATGCTTGAAGTCGCCTTCTTCTGTCCCATGGACCACGACTAGTTCTTTTGAATTTTCAACATGCGTGCTTCAATGCAAATGGTGCAGTCGCTACAACGCAGTTAAAACTCGTCCACTTTCGGGCGTGACGTCGACGAAGCCATTTTTTGAGCCCATGTTGCGCTCTGTCTGAGCCATTTTCGACCCGAAGCAGTCCTATAAGGCATAATGGGAGGTCACAGGTCCGCCCTACATACATAGTTGGAAACCTAACAGACCATTCTCAACGTAAACTGTGCCTTCAATTTTCGCACCCATTAGAGCTATGTCAAGACAATTCGAGAGAATTTAAATTATTTTTCCGGAATCATGATGTTTTTTCTTGGTGTATTTTCGAAAAGGGGTAGTTTCTTTTCATTATACTACTGCCATCCCATTTTTTTCACTGAAGTAAAAGGAACGAATTGAGCGTCTAGGTGTAAATCAAAAATTCGATCTTAGCAGTAAACAGCGGTTTCATATTTCCATCAGCACCTTCGACTGTTACTCTCCCTAAAAAACGCCCTTGATCGACTAAGCCAGGTGGACTCTATTAATATGGCCTCATAATTCGCCTAACTGCCTTTTTTCCAATTGAATCGCAAGATTTCATCCCAAACACGAGTAAATATCCCAGAATAAATCGTGCTGTCCTCATACGATTGAAGACAGGCCCCCTTCGTTTAGAATGAGAACGACTGAGCTGTTATAAGTATAATGCCGAAGAAAGCATGTCAAAAAGTGACGAAAAAACGAGTATGTATCTAAATTAAAATGACAGAAAGTAGGTGTCCGAAGTTATTCTCTTTGAATTCCTAGCTGACCTCAACCGCGGCAGCTGACAGAGCTCTTAGCTGCAGCACTTACACCTCAACTTGACTATAACTATGGAAAAAGTATTTCTTTTGAACTTTACTAACGGTCAGTACAACTTTCAATATTCCCTGGCTCGTGAGAAGGGGAGGGAACTTCTCAGAAGCAAAGCTTCTGGAAATGCTTCTTGTTTGAAAGCTTAGTTCACATTATTTTTGAAATATTTTTTAAGACCGAAAATCGGAGGTGTTGGGAGAGATTAGAGCGCCAGTAGTGAAGAAGGCGAGAAAATCCGTTGAGTCTTCGAAAATTAAAGCTTTACGAACAATGGTTTGTACGAGATCACCATGAAGGGAGCGGCAGGGCAAGAGTATTCGGACGAGATTTCTGCCGCTGTAAATGCACAAAGAGCTGACTACATCGAGCCAAAACTGTTCAGAATTGCCTGTCACTGTTTCCATGGATCATGACAGCCCCCTAACCAGGCCGTTCACCTATCTGACAGTTTCACATATGGCCTGGCAATGGGACGCCACAGATTCATCAGAGGGAGATTTCTCAGAGGCCATTTTTATCGTAAACTGTGCCCTTAAGGACGTCGGACGATCCGATCCAGATTTTCATAGAGATCACAAGGCAAAAAGAGCAAAAGGAATGGAGAAATGGAGTCTTAAAAACTTGGTTCAAAGGTTTAAAAATCGCGAAGAAGGTCCAAAAACTCACAGCAAATCTAAGATTTCCAAGTGGAGGTTCAGCATAAGGAATACCTCGGAATATCTGAATATGTCGTCCATCAATGTTGTAGATCTTCCCACGAACTAAGCCCTGTTCCACCCAGACTGATCTGGATTTCTCCAAGACCTGGCAGAATGACAGAGGGATTGTGTTGAGCAGTAGTACCAGCACTAGTAATAGTGAATTTATTGTCCTGGTGAGCATCTCCAGCGGGGTCGAACACGTCACTCGCCAGCGGTTGTCGCTGGCGCCATGTGCCGCCAGTCGGTCGCGATGTGTCTGTGTGTGTATGTGTGTTGATGAGCAGCAATGCCGACCAACTGACGGCCCCAATTACACACAGGCTCTCTCAGTGTTGTAAAGAAGAGGAAGAATTTAAGTAGCCTTTAAAAGGCTTCCCGTTTGCAGTTCACCTGCGGTGAGTCTCCTATCTCATCTGGAGGTAGGTTCTGACCAGCGGTCGGCAAAACTTCGATGGCCTTGGCGAAGAGAAAAACCGAATAACGAGAAGCTAAGTTTGTGACAAGAGGCACAGCTGTCAACTGAACGGTCAGTGGGCATTGGCTATCAGGATTGAGCATGCTTACAACCTTCATGGATTCGAGGGTTTTCTTAGTAGGCATCCAGAAGGGAAACGAATAAAATTTAAAATAAAATCCAAAAAAATGTATCTTGAGAAATCAAGAAGTCATCCATCACACCCTCTCAACGGACTGACAGAAGTCTTCAAAGGTCTTCTGCATAAGAAGACACCGAGTTCTAAGCAAACGGACAGTGTTATCAACCGCCAGAAGACTCAGATCTTTCGCACGCAACGGACATGTGACCTCCATGGAACGTTTTTCTGGGGCACATGAGCTCTGATTATGCGTTCCCAAGCCACATGAATCTGCCAGAGTTATGGCTTTCCTGCACAGCTCTTGCAAAAACTCTTTTTCCCATGAAGCAGCTTCGCCTGGATGGTATTCATGTGTGTGTGGAAAAATAACTAGAATAAGAGAGAGAATCCCTCTAAAAAGTGAGTTAGGAAAGGAACAAGACAATGCTGCTATGCTACAAACGGCTGATGCTGCTCCAGAACATTTCTATTTCGAAATCCACTTGCGTATTGCTACTATCCAGATAAGTCTTTTGTAGTACATAGGGCCTATACAAAGATATTTTGGGCCAGCTAATGGGCTAGTCATTCATGATTCGGAGGACTGGTAGCCTTGGTCAGTTTTGAGGGGTTTTCTTCAAGAGTTCGTGTAGCAACAAGCGCGAGGGTGTCTTCAGATTTTTTTCCAAATTTCATTTGGGACGAAAAAGGTCCCAAGGTTTTGTATTTAAATGTATTTCAATTTTTTCCGACATTCAGTCAGCTCTAGGATAATAATCATAGTTACGCTAATGACTGAAACCTGCTTTACTGAAAGAAAGTACTCCTGCTGGAAATATTACAATAGAACGTTTTTTCTTTGCCTTGCGGCAGTTCGAGCTATGGGGGAAGAATACGGCGACAGCTCATGTCCCTAGGCCCAGGTGCCTGCCTTTTATCTATCACTCGCTCCCTAAAAAATAAAGAAGTTCAAGAACTAAGCTCGTACCATTCCTTATCGTTCAAGGCACAGTTCTTGAAAACCCTTTTCAAGTCGAAGCGTTGTTGGAGAATAGTGCATCGGTGGGAAAGAAAGCGAGAAAATCCGCCGATTTCTCCTAAAGTCATACCTAGAAACGGCTTAGATGGGCGTTTTAAAGGCATAGTTCACGATAAAAATGTTTCTGAGATTTCCCCATAGAATGAATTCGAGGCCTTCTCGTCTACCATATCTGGTGCTACTAGGTCGGAAAACGTTTTAGTTAGGATGTTGTAAAAGCTCTAAGATTGGACCGTGTGTACCCACGGACGAGTTTCACCGGCATTGTAGAGGCTGCACCGATCACAAGGGAACCCATATAGGAAGTTTAAACAACTTGTCGTGACCCATAGCGACAGTGAAGGCAGTTCTGTACAGTTCTTATTTGATGTAGTCGGCTCTCTGTGCAATTCCAACAACTAAAATCTCGTCCGAATACCCTTCCATGTTATTTACGTCACGGTAAGCTCGCCCAACCTCTATTTTTTCCACAATTGAGGATCTTTATTTTTCTTAAAATCAGCGAATTCTCCTGCTTTCTTCACTACCGGAACTATTCCTAACCTATACTTCCGCTTCTCGAATAAAAACAGTACCTCAAAATTAACGTGAACTGTGCCTTTAAGGGTTCAAATATTGTAGAGGCCGGACCGATCGCAAGGGAACCCATGTAGGAAGCTTAAACAACTTATCATGACCACAAGCGGTGGTGAAAGGCAGTTCTGTACAGTTCTTGCTTTATGTTGTCACCTCTTTGTGCAACTGCAGCAACTGAAACCTTGCCCGAATACACCTTCCATGTTATTCCCGTCATGGAGAACTCGTCTAACCCGCATTATCCATACCTTTGAGGACCCCTACTTTTCTTGGAATCTTCGAATTCTCTCGCTTTCGCCAGTATCGATGACTACTCCCACCCTACACTTCCGATTTTCGACTAAAAAGGGGTACCTCAAGATTATCTTGGGCTGTGCCTGTTGAGTGGCATCCCTAAATCGGCATTGCCTTAAAAGGCACAGTTCACGATAATTTTGGGTAATCCAGATTATGATGAAAAATGAAAGTCAAGATCGAAAATAGTGCGATGAAGGTAAAGAAACTGCGTGAATCGGTGTTTCCAAAGTGAAAAAAGGCTTCGAGAACCGTAAAAAGGGGGCTGGACGTGAATGAACCACAAAAATGAAAAAG